AATATCCTACACACTGCTGAAGTGTCTCGACAGAAGATACTAGAAATAGGGGGAGAAGGGAAAGGAAATAACTAAAGAGCAGACACATAATAATGAGAGTGAAGGGAAACAGTACGTAATAAGGGGAAGAAGGCACTGGAAGCATGCAAGAGTGAAAGGTCACAACTGTCAATACCATTAATACACAATCCTGTACCAACAATAATAAAAATATCTCCAAGTAGGTAACAGAATGTATGAATGTAAGAAAGTGTTGGACTTTTTCTATTTGTTTAAGGTATTCATTCAGATGAAATCTTTTAGCTTTGTTTTTGCACAAGTAGTAATTCCTGAAAACAAATTAAAAAAAACCACAGAATTGGCTGATTACAAAAGATTGTGAAGAGAAATCCATTAAAGACTGCAGCAATGGGCTTAAGCATGGTGGCAGTCGTTAGGATAGTGCAAGGGTTTGAGCTGTTGTTCACAGGGTCGCAGTGATTTGCAGTCAACTTAACTGCACCTAACAACCAAAACAACTTCTTGGTAACATTTCCCTGGTGGTATCTATGGTTGTTATGGGCTGTGGAGAGCAAGTTCTTCAGATCCTCCTTAGTTTCAGCAAGCAGGGTTGTGTCATCTGCATAATGCAGATTGTTGATGAGTCTTTCTCCAATCCTGATGCCACATTTCTCCTTATACAGGCCAGCCTCCCGGATAATGTGTTCGGCATATAGATTGAAAAGGTATGGAGATAGGACACATCCCTGGTGTACACCCTTCCCAATCTTAAACCAGACAATATTTCCATGCTTTGTCCTGATGACTGCCTCCTGGTCCAAGGATAGGTTTCACATAAGCACAATCAAGTGTTCTGGGATTCCCATTCTTCTCAGAGTCACAGTTTGTTGTGGTCCCCACAGTCAAATGCCTTTGTATAGTCAATGAAACACAGATAAGACATTCCTTTGGTACTCCCTGCATTCAGCCAAGACCCATCAAACATTAGCAAAAATATCCCTAGTACCGAGGCCACTTCTAAACCCAGCAATTCTCTGTTGATGTGCTGCTCCAGTCGGTTTTGGATCATTTTCAGCAGGACCTTGCTTACATGTGATAGGAATGATATTGTTTGATAATTTCATGGTTACCCGTGAATTGGAATACAGAGGAGCTTTTCCATGTTGGAGAGGACAGCTCTTCTATTTTGCCTTCAGCATTGCTGACCGTGCACCCCGCCTTCCCAAGGATAGTCTGTGAGGTTACCAGTGCTAGAGGAGAAGCCACGTGAATGAAGCCAAACTTCTCCCTTTGCTTTGCCAGCTCACCATTGTTTCCTCTTGATTGTCGGTTTCAGATCTCAAGGGCCCTGTAAGCATGTCCAGTCCAAGGCGCTGAAGAAGCAGCTCCGTTCCATCTTGCTTTTCTGTAAACCCGAAGGGAGGATTTGAGCCCTTCTGCAGGGAGTGTGGACCACACAGCATTCATCTGATTCCTTATAATCCTCTGTTCTCCCACTCCAATGCTCGTCCTGAAGGGATTTCTTCATATTAACAAGACGGTTCCCTTTGAGCTCCAGGAGACGGAGCAAAGAAATGGTGAGTCCTAGAGTGTCAGGTCTTTCAGCCTTGAGTTGATGCCATTGGATAGAAATTCTTGGGAACCCACTTCATTCTGGAGGACTGCCATTCCCCAGAGAGGAGTGAAGGTGCAACAGAAGGCTCCCAGAATTGCCCTAGGAGGCACAAAACTCCCTGCTCCCTTAATACCCAGCCCTTTGCCTGTCCACACTCTTTCACGTTCGGAATGCCTAGGATCACTGTTCTGATGTGACCACAGGTCTGGCACCGTGAGCTGTTATGCCCAACTTGGGCCTTGGTTCTCCTGGTTTTATGACAGAATGTCCTGTCTGTGTTTCTCACAGCCTCCATTTTTTTGCTGGGCTTTCTTCAGAGTCCAGTGAGATATTTCTTGTATTTTTTCTTCATGCTTTGAGGTGTGTGGAACTAATGAACTCCTTTTCTAGTTCCTTCTGCTTCTACATATGCCTCTTGTTGTAAGGTGCCGTCGAGTTGACTACTAGCCACCTTGTAAAAAAACAGGTCCTGTTCTGACACATGTTCTAGAGTTAGGGCTTCATCCCTGTGATATTTGTCTATTCTTTGTTCTCTTCAGTGGGAGCTGTGAATGAATATTTTCTAAACTGCAGACACCTTTCTGGTTATTCTAAGAGAATGATGGGCAGGATTGATGGACATTGTTTGCTCGTGGGCTTTGCCTCCTCCTCCCTACCACACTTTGTTTTTGTTTTCTGTTTGATGGCAGTTAGTAAATGAGTATTAAATTGTTGCATTTGGCTCTAAAAGTCAGGTTCGTGTTTGCCAGGGAAGCTGAATATCTGGAATTGACAGCTTGGTAGAGTTTGTACTCTGATTAAGTTTCTCAGCCATTTAGTAGATTTCTTTTGAGAGGTCATTTCCCCTGGCTTCCTCGCCTTCTTGTTTTTTATACACCATTGCCGCCTTCTCCCAAAACTAATTTTGACACCACTTTCTCTGTGAGTCACCTAAATCATGATGGGCATATCAAGTGCTCTGGAGGTTTGCGTCATACACTTTTTTAGCCATTGGTGCCCAAAAGCAGTGTTTTGGAGCTCTGATGGTTAGGAGAATAAGGAGTCAGTTACGCATGTAATTCAAAAGCTGACCCTTTGCCTGTTCACTTCCATTCGTGTCAGGAAAATGCAGTGTGCGTGGGGATCTTAAGGGGCTGATGGGAAGGAGGGAGAGACCCCTATCTCTAATCTTCATATAACCTGCTGTTGCTCAGGGCCACATTCTGTTTTCTTCCCAGAAGTGTCGTTGACTGGGATATAGCAGAATTCACAGGTGTGGAATATGAGTGCTTGAGAATGAAAACAAGCCTCCTGCTTAGTCCTTGTCAGTTGTGAGTGGAACTTCCTGGGTTGCGTGTGGAGAGTTGTGCATAGCTCTTTTCCAGGTTATTCTCAAGAAGTTCATCATTTCGATCTATGCCTGGGTTTTTAAGCATCTGCCCTTGACCATGCAGGCCAACTGTATTCACAAACAATCTTTACCCTGTTCCTGTGTGTGTGTGTGCAGAGTCAGAGCTGTGATGTCAGACTCACAGCAGATTTGCATAGCTGGTTTGCAGAGATAGAATACCACAAGGGAGGGGATCAGTCATTTTTCTCCTGTGAATCAAGTGCTGGATTCAGAACACCTGCCTTTGTGTCAGCATTGTAACTCCCTCACCACACCACTAGAGTTCCCAGAGTTTTATGTTGCTGTTGTTAGGTGCTGTGGAGTCAAGCATGACTCATAGCAACCCTACGAACAAAAGATCCAAACCCTGTTCTATCCTGCATTATCCTCACACTTTATGTTACACGAGAGCCTGTTGTAGCAGTCACTGTGCAGTCCACCTGGTTGAGGGTCTTCCTCTCCTTCGCCGACCCTCCACCCTTCCCAGCATCCTATCCTTCTCCAAGGACTAGCATCTCCTAGCAACATGCACAAAGTATGAGCGGGGAAGGCTCAGCATTCTTGCCTCCAAAGAGCACTCTGGCTGCACCCTCCCTCAGACACATCTGTTTCTTTTCCTGGCCATCCTTTTGATGTTCAGAACTCTTCTAGTCAGTTGATAATCATTAATATGTTGTTGTACACCATAGGGAACTGACCCATAGCTGACCCTCCAGCAGGTTTCCAGAGTCAGTTATCCACATGGGGAGGAGATTGCCCCCTCTTCTCCTGCAGAGCAACTGGTGGCCTCGAACAACATACCTTCAGGATTGCAGCACAGCTTCTTACCCCTAGACCACCAGAGCTCCTGTCATTGTCATACGGTATCATAACCCTAGATATCTGCACTAAAGCTTTATGTGTGAAATTAACTTCTGATCCCATGAAAAGTTACAAGATTGTCTTTAGGGTGATTCGACTATCGTCCACAACCTCGACTAAAATGAATTCCTGGTGAGCCATGCAGTTTTTTCTGTATTGGAGGAGCAACTGAATAGAAAGGACAAATTTTTTTTCTCCCTAAAAAAAAAGGAACATGTGTTTCCATATGCTGTTGCCGACCTGGATGAATGAAGACACGGACACTGAGAATGAGGGGGAGAAGAGCGTGAAGGCGGGGGGCGAACAGCTTGAATCCTGCAGCACAGAGCTGAGAGTCTCTCCTGCCTTTGTTGAGAATTCGCATGTGATAAATCACAGAAAAAAATCTTTACTAATTGGCTATGTATTTATCCACTGGCATCCTTATCCTTATCTCAGGAATATTGTGTTTATAAACACAGTCTGAGAGTAGCAGAGGTGCCATCAGGTCTGCTTGAAGTGCGTGTCTCTTGTGACTTGCCTTAGGAGAAATACCGCGTTATTCTTTGTGATCTGTCGCAAGAGGAATTCCAAGTTATATTTGTGCCCCTTTCGATTCCTGTTCAAGTATTTCGTTTAACATTGGGCTTCCCACAGTATGCTTTTGTCGACCCTGTATACTCTCATAAGAGACAGAAGAAAATACTTCCCGTCTGCAGTGTGTCCACGATGGTAGGACATCACTCTGCTTTCAGTCTGTCCTTTATATTTTCTTCACTGTTCTTAAAAAATCTTTTCCTAAGATCAAACTGGCTATTCCCAACAGACTTATCTTCCAAATTCAACTATTTTCTATTTTGAGCTGTATTTTTCCAGGACACAGAATATGTGTGCAAATATTCACAGTGAAACTATCTATAGGTTCGTGACTACATAGATCTCTGATTCACTACAAGATGAGTTACTGGCCATGATTTCCTCAGTAAGGAAATGAAACGAATACGATCCAAAACGAGACTGAAATCTACTGCCCTGAGTAGATCTTGGAACAAAAAAGAACTTTTGTCATGTCTGTATGATTTCTTAGTTTTCTACATATGTGAGGCTCCTTCTTTGTTCTTGCCCACATTGTGAGACACGGTACCGATCTGATGCAGATAACGCTGTGTGTTTCAGGCCCCATTGCTGCTTGGCGATGTGGTCATCTTCTTCACCCAGGAAGAGTGGGCCTTGTTGAGTGCTGCTCAGAAGAAACTCTACAGGGACGTGATGATGGGAATCTTGGAGAACCTGGACTTCATAGATAAAAAATAAGATCTGATATGCTTTCAAATCCTTGGAATGCAAAGAAAATGAATGCGTGTACATTACTTTTGAACTTTGGCAGAAGAATTAGAATACAAGGGTCAATGGAACAGGTATATGGTCTGCTGGCTTTTCGCGCTCACACGTGGAAAATTATTTCTTCATGGAGGCCTTTGTATCTGAGAGCATCTTTTCTCTTCTGTGATTCAGTGGATTTAGATCTGTAACTAAGGGTACACTCTTAACTTTTATGGGTCGTATTTCAAGGACTAGTCTTTGGGGCCGTGGTATATAACACTCATTTAGGGCTCCTGTGTTGTTGTTTTGGTGTACCATCCAGTGAGATCCCACTGGCACAGGAGGAGATTGCCCCTCCTTTTCCAGTGAAGGGTCTGGTGGATTCAAATCGTGAGCTGTTGAGATTGCAGTGCAGCTTCTTGCCGGTAGGCCTCCGAACTCCTAGGGCTTCCTGGGAAAGTTCTATGAAATTGTGAATACACTGTGGTTTCTTCTGCATACTGAGACATTGGCATTTTCATGACTCAAGTTGAGAAATTGTCATTTTGCCTGATGGTGCAATTTAACCGATCACTGCATGCCCTTTTGTGCATCAGCAGGCCCGTCCTGGAGCCATTTTTTCTATTTTTCCTGTGATGTGTAATGGTCCATGAATACTCTGTGATACTGTGTGTGTACTGTGTATTGTAATGTGTGTACTGTCCGGTGTGATATTGTGTGTGCTGTGTGAGTCATCTCTGTAATTATCCACCAGAGGAAACTCATTTATATCATCATGTCTTTCATTTGTCTCAGAAGGGCTTCCTAGAGAATAGTTTTCTCTCTAGTGTCAACGTGCTGAAACTGAGAAATATGGCCACTTGACTGTTCACAGCAGTCTCACTAACCTTTAATTACTTTGTTTTCTCTCTCATTTTTATGGTGTAGAAGTTCTTTTCCTTATTTCGGCAGACCTTGAAGCCATGAATGACAGAGAAGCATATCCCCCTGAATGTACTCAGTGGGCCTTTTTGAAGACGACCCCATGTTAGGGAAGATGTTAAAATTGTGTGGCAAAGAAGATCTACATAAAATCAAAGAAAACAATTGGAGATGAGTGTCATGAAAATGGAATGAAAAACAACAACAAATACCCACGAGAAAACACGTAACTTTGGAGACGGCAATCAGAAAGTCTAATGATTTATAAAAGCAGTTCTAGGAATTATATTTTTGCTAAATGAAGTCAGGTGAGACTCTGAAACTACACATCTTCATTGTGTTTTATGGTGGGCATGCAGGAATACACTTCTTTACGACTGTGTGCCATTTATTTTTCCCAGAAGTCAAACAGTCCAGGAGGTGTGTGAAGGGATTAAAGACACTCACCCTGGGAAAATGCGCATCCGATTTCCAAGTTACTCCTGCAACCGTGTCGACATAAACCTGTCGAGGAGTGACCTTGGTGACACCGGCCATGAATGTAAGAAATGTGGCAAAGATTTCTGTACCTTCTCTTCATTTTGGATCCATGTGGTAGATGAACATGAACCTACAGAATGTGCTGAGAACTATAACAGTCCTTACTCTTTGGGTTTCCGAGAAGAGTTTCATTTTTTTGATAAGCTTTACGAGCGTACTAAAAATAGTAAGCCCTTTTCTTAGTCTGCCCCCCTTACGAGTACATCAGACATCACAGTAAAGAGAAAAACATACAATGTAGAGAAGCCTTATAAATGTACGGTATGTGGAAAATCTTGTCTTTCTGTCTCATGCCTCAGGAGACATGTGAGAACACATACAGATGGGAAGCCTTATGAATGTAACCAATTTAACTGTCCATGCCAAAATTCACTCAGGAGAGAGAACTATTCAACATATGGAATGTGGAAAAACCTTTTCACATTCAGATCACCTCAGTCAACAAATTCACACAGGAGAGAGACCCTGTGAATGTAAGGAATATGGAAAAGCATTTTTAGAATTCACTCACCTCATTAGTCATAGATGAATTCATGGAGGACAGCGACCTTGTAAATGCAAGCAATGTTTGAAGACCTGTTGTCACGTTTCGTATCTTAGAAGACGTACAAGAATGCACACAGGAGAGAAGTCTTACAAATGTACAAATTGTGGGAACGCATTCCCATGGCTAGCTTATCTCAGGAAACGCAGAAGAACTCACACAGAAGAGAGACTTTATGAATGTTCAGAATGTGGGAAAACATTTATGCACTCAGGTAGCCTCACTACCCGTAGAAGAATTCACACACAAGAGAGAGAGAGACCTTACGAATGTCAGGAATGTGGGAAATTATTTTGCCGATCAAGTCAGCTCACCTCTCATAGAAGAGTAATTCACACAGGAGAGAGACCCTACGAATGTCAGGAATGTGGGGAAACATTTTCACAATCAAATTACCCAACTGAACATAGAAGGGTTCACACAGGAGAGAGACCTTTTGAATGTCAGGAGTGTGGGAGAACCTTCGCCCTATCAGGTCACCTCACTGTACATCGAAGAATTCACACAGGAGAGAGACCTTACGAATGTCAGGAATGTGGGATAACATTTTCATGATCAAGTCACCTGACTGTACATAGAATAGTTCACACAGGAGAGAAGCCATACAGTAATTAGGATAGTGGGAAAACATTTTGACCATCAAGTCAGCTCACTGAACAAAGAATTCACACAGAGACAGACCTTACGAATGTCAGGAGTGTGGGAAAACATTTTGCAAGTCACCTCACGTTACATAGAAGAGTTCACACAGGAGAGAGACCTTACGAATGTCAGGAATGTGGGAAAACAGTTTCACCATCACATAGCCTCACTAAACCTAGAACTGTTCATATTGGAGAGAGAACTTAGGAATGTCAAGAGTGTGGGAAAATTTTGCGCACTCAAGTTACGTCACTATAGATAGAAGAATTCATACAGGAGAGAAACCTGATGAATATGAGGAATATGTAAAAACAATTTCAGAAGCAGCTTACCTCACTAAATATATTAGAATTCACACACGCAACAGACCTCAGGAATGTAAGGAATGTGGGAAAAGAGTTCTTTGGCCTTCCAGCTCAATTGGACATAGACGGCATCACAGGATAGAAATGTTAAGAATGTAAGAAATACAGAAAAAATTTTTTCAGCCTTCATCCTGTCCATTCTAAAATAAGCACAATAAAAAAAATCTACGAGATATCATCTCACCCCAGTAAGACTAGCAAAATTTAAGAGAACAGCAAACATCAAATGCTGGTGAGATTGAGGAGAAACTGGAACACTTATTCACTGTTGGTGGGAGTGCAAAATGGTGCAACCCCTGTGGAAGGCGGTATGGTGCTTTCTCAAAGTTGCAAATAGATATACCACTTGACCCCACAACTCCACTACTGGGAATATACCCTAAAGAAACTACTGAGAATTTACCCTAAAGAAACCATAACTGCCACCAAGCAGATATATGCACACCCATGTTTATCATGGCTTTGTTCACAATAGCAAGGAGTTGTGCCCATCAATAAAAGAGTGGATAGAGAAGCTCTGGTATATTCACACAATTGAATACTACGCTGCATTGAAAAGCAAGGAACTCATGCAATATTATTCAGAATGGACATTATGCTGAGTGAAAGATCTCAGTCACAAAGGGACAAATACTGTATGATGCCACTGTCGTAAAACAGGACCGACCTTGGGGTTTGGGGGCAGACTGATAAAGATAGGTTCAATAATACATACTGCATTGAAACACATGAGGGACAAAACTGTTTAAAAGGGATATGTGATTAGGTATTTTTGTCATGGTGGGAGTCCAGAGCAAAGGCTGCATAGTGCAGGGGAACTTGGAGGGGGGGTGGGAGGTATTGTAATAGAAAGAAAGAATTTTTCTTTTCATTTTCCAAGAGGGGAGTGCACTGTGGGGGAAGGTTGGGGGGGGGGGGAAGTGCAACAATGAATGAATGAATGGAAAACCAAAGTTCCTGTAAATTTTCATTGAAGTAATAGAAAAATTTTTAAAAATGCACAGAGGAGGGAGACCTTATGAAGGTAAGGCATATAGGAAAGGAGTCTGAAAATCTGTTCCCCTCATTAACCATAGAAAAATTCACATTGGAGAGAGATCTTATGACTCACAAATGTGGGAAAACCTTTTCAGAATTAAGATACTTCAGTGCCTATAAAAATTCACACAAGAGAGAACTTGACGAGGATAGACAGATGAAGAAAATTAGGAAGGAATTCGTATTCCTGCTCATGTCCTATAGTAGAACTTTTCGTTCTGTCTTGGAATGTGAGATCCTTTTAGAGGTTTTACAGTGTTTTTTCATGTATGTGGGAGTCCTTCAGTGTTTGTTGAAGCTGAGTCTCCTTTTGCACCATGTGACAGGAATTTGATCATTGTATTGCCAGTGTGACCTTTTGCAAGTAATTTTTATTCTTTGCTTTTTTCCCAGGTAAAATGTTTCCTTGTTAAATCTGTAACGTTTTTGACTATTTTCCAGAAAACCCAACTGGGAAATACCATTTTGTAGATTTTTGCTTTGTTACTGATACTTTCCGCGGAATTAATAAAGATCTCATTTGTACAAGAGGTTTTGTTTCATGAATGGCTTTTATTTCTCCCAAGACAAAGTGAACTATTTTACTCTTCCACATGTGGTGTGCTAGTGTTTGGCTTGGCAGTGTGTATTTATAGTTTTACAGCTGACCTGGTGTGGGCCGTCTGTCCAGCATCCTTAAGTGCCCAAGCCATGCTCCAAGACCACAATATTCACAAAATCAGCTGTTCAGGAGATGGACGAGAAAGATGTCCTTTGTTCACTGTTGATTGGGTAGCCTGTGGTGTTCCGAATACATCACCAGCAGTGCTCCCTCAAAGGATACAGCTATTACTAAATAAAAGTATTGAAGTTTTCAGAGAATCAGGAGGAAAAAGGTCAGGTGGTGTCAGCAGATGAGGAATTAATTTTAACACCCACCCCCCAATCCTTCACGTATGCCA